AATTACCTTAATATCTGTGTGCTGGATGAATAGCAAGAAGGAATCAAGGTCAAACTGTGTAGTTGAAGGATAACCAAAAACGCGCATTTGTAAGCTAAGCTGTTTCAGCATTTGGCCAGTACTTGTTAGCTTAGTGCCCTAAGGCGCAAAAGGAACGTGATTAGATTGTAGATGTCAGTTTACGTTTCTTCTAAAAATAAAATKTACATATCAGAGCATTAGAGTACTGGTATAAGATTTCAATAAACAAAAATGTAAACAGTAGAATCAGCGATACCTGTAAAGATAAAGTAGTTCAATTTTCATGCGCCTTCGCCCTATTTAGCAACACATAATCTCTCATTCCGTACAGACATGCTGAGAACATCATTGATACTTAGTTGTCTCCAAAACGATGATGGTTTTTTAACCTTCCCTCTGTCATTCTCCCCGTATGGAAACTGTTCCACACATGAAAGCTTTGTAAACGCTTTTATAGCAGAGAAGAAAAAAGTGAATTGATGGACCCGCTTACTCCCATTCTCGTCCTATACCACATTAAAATGATAGGGCAAAGTCTGATATTTTGTATTTTTTTAAATATTATTCTAAAGTAAGTTGTACAAGTTACAATGTCAAGCAATGTTTACCATGGCRACTGGACAGCTCAATGTAAATAAACAAATTATTGGAACGAGTATACGGTAAATCAACTGACTCGTCGAGATGAACTTTGGTTCTATTGCAAGAATACATAGACCTGAAGATAAAAATATAACAAATGTTTCAAATTGCTCTAGCTATTTCGAAAATGGCTTTCGGAGAGACTTGCAAATGCAACTACTCTCTTATCTAATGAAAAAAAAAACGGGTAAAGGTATCGTCCACATCAACCCAAAATGCGCCTGCGGCTCGCAGTGTTAAATAGTATTGCCCATACAATTATCTTGCTCTTCTAGAACTCATTAATAATTCATGAGCTATTAGTCCAATGAGCATCGAACAGTTAGTGTTGGGTCACATGATGGGCCTTTATATCCGATAAAGTACTGATGTTTTATTAATCAGTTCTATATATCAGATATATAGAACTGATGTTTTATTAATCAGTTCTATATCAGATATAAAGAACTGATCAAGTTCATCAGCGCTTTATCGCAGCCCAACACTAGCAAAGGTCTCAGTTTTAATGTCGCATCATAGACCTTTACTAGGTTTTAAATCAGTTCGAATCAATATGCCGACATGCATTCTTTCGTGTGGGATCAAAATTCTTTCAATTGTGGCACAATGCACATGCTCATTAGAAGTTCAATATGCATTATCACTGTTTTCGCATTTTTTAGCGTTTTTCTAAAATGATAACAATTTCTGAATGTTGGAGTTCTAGAAGTCGTTTATAGAACTCGAGTGCGTGTTTTATCGAGTATATAGATTCTCGCCTGCGAAT